GTGTGGGTACACACATCTTTATCCATTCTACTTTCAATAGACACTTAGGTTGCTTCCATATTTTGTTGATTGTAAATAATGCTGCAATAAACGTAGGGATGCATGTATCTCTTCAAATTAATTTTTATTTTTTTTGGATAAAGACTCAGCACTGGAATTACTGGGTTGTATGATATTTCTATTTTTAATTTTTTGAGGAACTTCCATGCTGTTTTCCACAGCGGCTCTGGAAGGTGGCTGCACCAGTTCACATTCCCACCAGCAGTGCACCAGGGTTTCCTTTTCTCTACATCCTCACCAGTACTTGTTATTTCTTGTCTTTTTGATACTAGCCATTCTGACTGGTGTGAGGTAATCTCTCATTGTGGTTTTCATTTGCATTTACCAGATGATTAGTGATATTGAACATCTTTTCATGTGTCTGTTGGCCATCTGTAGGTCTTCTCTGGAAAAATGCCTATTCAGTCCTCTGCCCATTTTTTTTCTTCCAATTCTTATTTAAATTCTAGTTAGTTAACATAGAGTGTAATACCGGTTTAAGGAGTAGAATTCAGTGATTCATCCCTTACATATAATACCCACTGCTCATCACAAGTGCCCTTAATACCCATCACCCATTTAACCCATCCCCCACCCCCACCTCCCTCCCTCAACCCTCATTCAGGTCCCCTATTGTTAAGAGTCTCTTAGGGTTTGCCTCTTCTCTTTTCTCCCCCTTCCCAGACGTTCATCTGTTTTTCTTAAATTCCACGTATGAGTGAAATCATAGGATATTTGTCTTCCTCTGACTGATTTTGCTTAGCATAACACATTCCAGCTCCATCCATATTGCTGCAGATGGCAAGATTTCATTCTTTTTGTTGGCTGAGTAATAATCCAATGTATACATACATAGCACATCGTCTTTATCCATTCATTGGTCGATGGACACTTGGGCTAATTCTATAGTTTGGCTGTTGTTGATAATGCTGCTGTAAACATCGGGGTGCACATACCCCTTTTGAATCTGTATTTTTAAAAACTTTCCTCTGCCCATTTTAAATTGGATTTATTTTGGTGTCTTTTATATATTTTGAAAATAATTCTGTTACCAGGTACATCATTTGCAAATATCTTCTCCCATTCAGTAGATTGCCTTTTTGTTTGTTGGTTTCCTTCACTGTGCAAAACCTTTTTAGTTTGATGGAGTCCCAGTAGTTTATTTTTGCTTTTATTTTCCTTGCCTGAGGAGACATGGAGAAAACTGTTAAGTCCAATATTCAAGAGATTCCTGCCTATGTTTTCTTCTAAGAGTTTTATGGTTTCCAGTCTCACATTTAGGTCTTTAATCCATTTTGATTTTATATTTATGGTGTAAGAAAATGGTCTACTTTTCCCAACACCATTTATTGGAGAGACTCTTTTCTCCGTTGTATGTTCTTGTTCTCTTTTGTCATAGATTAATGGACCATATAAGCATGAGTTTCTTTCCGGGCTGTCTGTTCTGTTCTCTTTATCTGTGTGTCTGTTTTTGTACCACTACTGTACTGTTTTGATTACTTCACCTTTGTACTATAGCTTGAAATCAGGGATCGTGATGCCTTCAGCTTTGTTCTTCTTAAGATTGCTTTAGCTATCCAGGGTCTTTGGAGATTTCATACAAACTTCAGGATTATTTGTTGCAGTTCTGTGAAAAATGCTGTTGGTATTTTGATGGAGATTGCGTTTAATTTGTAGATTGCTTTGGGTAGTGTGGACATTTTAACAGTATTCTTCCAGGCCATGAGCATGGTATATCTTCAATATTTGTACGTCTATTTGTCTTAAATTTCTTTCATCATTGTTTTATAGTTTTCAGAGTAGAGGTGTGTCACCTGGTCGGTTAAAGGTATCCCTAGGTATTTTATTCATTTTGGTGCAATTATAAATGGGATGGTTTTCTTAATTACTCTTTAATAGCTTCTTAGTGTATAAAAAGGCAATAGATCTCTGTATATTAATTTTGTATCCTGTAACTTTAGTGGATTGATTTATTCTAATAGGGTTTTTGGTGAGGTCTTATCAGTGTCATCTGCAAATAGTGAGGGTTGTACCTATTCGTTACCAATTTAGAATGATTCCTTTTTCTTGTCTGATTGCTGTGGCAAAAGTAGACATCTTTATTTTATTCCTGATATGAGAGAAAATTGACCATCAGAAGTAAAGACGAGATGTTCTAGACCTAGCGATAGAGCATGTGAACTTTTTCCTTTGAAGCATGTACCCTTACTGGAGTGGTTGATTTTTTGCTCACACTTTGGGACTTACTGTAGAGGCTGGATGCCACTGACCTGTGTAAGAGTAAAAGGGGCTGTGAGCAGTATTCGCTCAGCCTCCCAGAGGTGCCTGTTTTTTTTCCAACCTATAACTGCACCCAGAGGATCTGATGCAGTAGACATGTCAGCTAATTATATGAAATAGAATTAATTTTAGCTTCCTTTACCACAAGCAGAATTTTAACCAGGTACTTATCAAAATTGTGTTTCTCTCTGTTCCAGCCTAATTTCTGTGACTATTTCAGCTTGCTTTTGTTGGCCCATTTTAATCCAAGAGCTAAGAGTCCCTTGATCTGGGAGTCCAGTTCTGGAATTTGAGGATTCTCGTGAATCCTCAGGTTCCTATCGACCCTGGGGAGGTCCTGCACCTGCAGCGCCAAATAGCCTGACTAAACCCTGATAATTGTTTCCTCCAAAATACAAGCAGCACAAGTAGTTAAGCGTACAGCCTTCAGGGAATTCTGCTGTTTGAAAACCTACGCCCAGCACTTTGCAAAGCTGTCGAGCCTAGGGAAGCTGTGTCTGTCTCTTGGCAAAGCAGTGCCTTGGTTTTCCTTCCTTGGCTACCTCGTTTTCTTTTTTAATGCATTTTCTTTGCATGGTGGAAAGGAGAGGCAGGTGCGTCTAAACTTTGATTTTTCACAGCGAACTTTAAATCCTTATATCACATGTGGAAAGATTGATTTGTAGCTGCTCTGTCTTCCGAATAGACCTTGTGGATGGTAAAGATCTCAGGGAGTGAAACATTAAAAATGAATGAGAACTAGTTTGTCTGAGGTAGGGGTTGAGAGGGACTTGGTGGGAAAGGTTTAACAAAAGGCATTGATGTTTTAAATGCACAGAAATGCTGTCCATCAATAATAAATGGGGTGCTTAGAATAGGTGTGCCAAATTGAGTTATTAGAGCATACAGATCAGTTCACAGAAGGGGAAAGTAAACAGCATGGCTGGTGTTTTTAAATTATCTGTTTGAAAGCATTAGAATATAGTTTTGAATATCCTCTTGCTATCAGAGCATAAAGAGAAAACATTTAGAATTTCCAAAAATTCTAAGTTTTGATTTTTTTAAGACTTAATAAGAATGAACAAATTCTGTTTTTCTGAAAATGAATTTCTGGCCTTACCTGGCTGAATGCCTTTTTTAAGAGCTTGAGTTGTAATTGTATGAGGAATGAAATTAACATTACAGAATGTTAAGTCAGGTACAACTGTTGCCTAGTGTTTTCCGTACCTACATTGTATCCCTAGATACCTCTTTACTACATACTCCAACTACAGAGGACCACTCAGGAAACCCCTCTCTGTGGTTTGAGATTGATTCATCCTCACCCTCAGTATTTTGATGCAAGGGCTAATTCTGTACATTTATTTGCTCTGCGTGAGAATTTTCACCAGAAGAGAGACAAAAAGAAATGCCAGCTTCACTGTCTCAGAGAGAAAATGACTCCTAGAAAGCTGGACAAAATCTGTTAAGCAAACTGGGATCTTGGGTCGGTGTAGACCCTGCTGCCAAAGTCAAGCTGGGAGTGTTATTTGGTCTTCTAGAGGGATGGGAGTTAGTTTAGCGGCACAGGCTTGGCAGAGGACAGGAATGCAGGGGGCACTGGAATGACTCCGGGGTTGGAACTGGTGTGCTTCGTGAAAGCACTAGGCTTGGTAAGGCACGTGGAGCTATTCTACTCATGTTCATATCGACCCTCGCTTGCCCGTTTGGGAACTTGTTTGGAATCATCTGTTGTCTCTTTTTCCTAAGATGAACAAAAAGTACTTAATTCTTGCAAGTAATGTGAATTTATTTTAATTTGAGGTTTGTTAGGATAGAAAGACAGTCTTTGAGTGTGAATGCTCAAAGTTGAAAAGGAGGACGATTGTATGAGAAGTCTTACTCGCCCTTATTGGGGCCATCTGTGTTCGCTTTCAAGTCTTTCAGGTGCAGAATGTACTTGAATTAATCTTTTCACCTCCAAGGGATCCTAGCTTGCCCTAAAAAAAGCACGTGTCAAACTGTCTTTAGAGCCACCAAATAAATCTATTTTATAGTCCCATTAGATATCTCGCTCAAAATCCACTCTGGAAGGTCCTGTGGTTGGATGCACAACAAATTTCCTGCAGTCATCTCTGGTCCACCTCCTTTGGGTTGTTAAGAAGGTGTTGAAATGTGAGACGGCTGGTAGTGGAATGAAATTGTGGGTCAGGGTAATTAGGAAGGGCGAAAACCCAGCATTTTCATGGTACATTGTCTGGCTTTTAGTTGAAGCTGCAAACAACGGATATGAACTAAACCAGTTGCTCCTGTGCAGCTGGTTCAGATCTAGCTTTATAAACTGGCTGAAGTAAAATGAAATGGCTGGAAAATTCCAGTCAAGTAACACCAGTGGGAACATGTGGAGTTAAATAGTGTGAGTAAATGCTGGCCCGGTTGAGGAAAAAAAACTACAGACACAAACTTGAGGGTGGTGGTGAGGACTTGTAGAGAGGGCTGGGGAGGGGACAGGCAGGGCATTTTCTGGCCTTTATAACAAGGGTCTATTGTCTGGATCAGTTCCCTTGTAGGAGGTAGGAGGAAAACTTCCAGGGAAGTTTGTAGAGTGGCCTGCCTACCTTCTTGACTGATAATTTTTTTTTCTTTAAGAAAGAAAGAAAAATAAGCCATCACTTCAGTTTCTGACAGTAACACCAATCTCAAAATGTTGTCTTTCTTCCCACCTTGTGTGACCCAGAAGGCCCCGTCTGTCTTCATAGTCCTCTTCCCTTGCACCACGCGTACCGGAGGATGTGGAGTATGTTGGAGGTGAAGGTTCAGTGTCTTCTCATTGTTCTAAATAAGGAAGGAAAATGGGTTTAGTCAAGGAAAGCTTCTGTAGTATCAGTTTTTGCTGCTTAATTTGGAGAATTGAGAGTTGGCTCGAGGAAAAAAAAAACTTGAGAAGTTCAAGGGCCGTGGTGCTGTTTGGGGAAAACATTTGCTGTAACTAGGTTGAGGGTATTTATTCTCTGCCAGTGCCTGGGAGCTGTATTTGCCAAGTGATTTCCCAGTCGCAGGGATTAGCCGGTCATGTGAGACATTTGATGAAGAGACTTAGAGAAATCTTGGCTGAGGCATGTGATTGGTGGCTGTGGGTGGGATGGCCCCCTCCTCGACTCTGCTTCACTCCCCGGCGTTTGTAAGAATGTTTGTAGATGAAGAATCTTCTTAGAAATCAAAGTCCCGAAGGGTGTATTATTAATTACGCCCCGACGTTTCTACAGGACTTGGAGTCTTTTTCTCTCGGAGCTATACCACCACTCATCTGTCTGGGGAAGAAGACAAGACACCAGCCTATCGGTAAAAGTTATCTGTACCCCAACGGCATACATAGTTCTGTTTTAGGAAAGAGAATGTTTCTTGATGGACATGCCCTAGATTTGCAGCAAATTTTTATTCTAAACCTAGAGGACTTTTTCTTTTTCCTTAACAGGGACACTTTTCATTGGTGAGGCCAAGCCCGTGGGCTGCGGTTAGTGATGGGCTCCAGACTGGAGGGGAGCACCGGCTGTGTCCCTGCCCGCCTGCTTAAATTTGCATGTGTTCCTGCCCACAGATAACCATCATCTTCAAAGCTCACCGGGAGTGTACAGAGCAGAAAGTGTACCAAGCTGTGACCGATGACCTGCCGGCGGCCTTTGTGGATGGCAGCACCAGCGGCGGGGCTGGCGACCCCAGGAGCCTGCTGATCGTGGAGAGGGAGAGTGGCCGCTCCGTGGAGATGCACGCCCGCTACATCGGGACCACGGTGTTCGTGCGGCAGCTGGGCCGCTACCTGACGCTCGCCATCCGCATGCCCGAGGCCCTGGCCATGTCCTACGAGGAAAGCCAGGACCTGCAGCTGTGTGTCAACGGCTGCCCCCTGAGCGAGCGCATCGATGACGGGCAGGGCCAGGTGTCTGCCATCCTGGGGCCCAGCGCGCCTCGCACGGCTCTGGCACCGGCCTGGCCGGGCTACACCCTGGAGGCTGCCAGTGCTCAGTGCCACGAGAGGATGCCCGTGAAGGACATCTACTTCCAGTCCTGCGTCTTCGACCTGCTCACCACTGGGGACACCAACTTCACGGCCGCTGCGCACAGTGCCTTGGGGGACGTGGAGGCTCTGCACCCGCGCCGCGAGCGCTGGCACATTTTCCCCAGCGGCAGCCAGGGGGCGCCCCACGGAGGCGGCCCCGGGGCTGTCACTCTCGGACTCCCATGCTTGATCCTCATTGTGTTTTTGTAGGGGCGTCTTGTGTTTTTTTATTTCTTGTCTATAACAGAATTTTAAAATATATATTGTCATAATATATTGAGTAAGAGTATATATATATATATATATGTATATACCATGTATATGACAGGGTGTGTGTCCGGGGGCCCCCACCAGAGTGTACATATTGTGTTCGACTGTCTTCGTGGATGTTGGATGTAGTGTTCTTTGATTGTATTGATTTTGTTTTGCCGTTTTGTGAAATATTTTATAACGTCCCTGCCTGGGGACCTGTTAGAAAGCACTTTATTTTTTATATATTAAATATTTATGTGTGTACCTGGTCAGTACGTATAGTACATATACCCAGACACCAGACGCAGCGCTCCCTTCGACGAGGACCAGGGACGGTGTGTGGAGCTGTTCCTGGCCGCTCAATCCTGCCTTGGCCCCTGGCTACGGATCTGCCACCCCGGGGGCAGCTGCGTCCTTCCTATGAGCCAGGGGCTGTCCTTAGCGGCCTCCTGCCCTCACTCAAGGTGGACGGACCGCGAGCTCCCCCGCCGACAGGCGCTTGGGCTCTTGTGAAACAATGCAGCTCGACGGCACCCTCGCCCTCCTCCTCCACAGCTGTCACTTTGTCAGAGGGCAGGGAGACTATTACCACGGTTTTATAAACTAGGATCGTTTTAGCTGAGCACTTACCATATGTGGGGTTGAGCCAGACAAAACTGCTGTTTTGATAGGTCAGAAGGGTCTAGAGGTGGCAATTTCACGGATAAATACCAGGCGTGTTGCTAGACCCGAGGAGGTCTCAGACTTTCCCTCATCCCACGTCCCTGTTGAAACTATCACACGTTGCTCTTCTAATTGTGCAAGCCCAAGTTCTTAGCCTTCTGGTCCTTGGCTGCTGGCACTCAGAACCACACTGTTCCCTGTCTCTACCCCCCAGTAAACCCACCTTAATCTCACCTTATGATCCCAGAGATTAGGGTTTGTTGGATTCTTGCTTCATATCAAGGCCCAGTTCCCGTCACAAAGTTTGCCTCTCTTCCTTGCCCTCCACACCATGGTCTTCCTCACAGTCGCTGATGTATCTGTATGCATGATGAAATGAACAGGGTGTTAGACGACAGGAACACTTTCCTGGCCTGACCCAGTATGCAACTAATTGGGTGCGGGTTAATCCAGACATTCTCACTAAGCAATGTTGCTCCCCAGGCGCTCGCTCTCTTTCATCAGACACTCTCCCTCGTAACATCTGGAGTATTATTTTGTCAGTTGCTCATGTCACGTGGTAAAATTCCTATAAAATCTCTTCTTGCCTCATCCCTTTCACTGTTGGCATCCCCTTGCAAAAGGAAAGCACCACCAACAAAATGCAAGCACCATGAGGAAGTGAGTTCTAGGGTAGGTAAATTTCTCTTGTATCTATGTAAATGTTTGGTACCAAGGAGAAAGGATACAATTTGTACCTCACCTAAGTGCAAGGAAAAGTCAATGAACTTTAAATACCACAGCAATTTGGATCCAGATTGTGCTAGTTTTAGACGTCCAGGTCATTTCTGCCTTTTGCCAAGTCCCATTGATTAGGCTCACTGCCAGAGGCCCCGACTGGCAGGAAAAAAGGATTTCGTTTTGTGAAATTCTATTTCTTAGTGAACTGAGCCATCATCCGATCGCAGGATGGAGTTGTGGGTTCGTCTATAGGTGGCAACCCTCCTCTCGTTTTCTGGTGTGTGACAGAATCATCTTGGCAAGTCTGGGAAGATCACAAAGGCATCCTGCTGCTTACTTGATAAAGATGCAACACCAGAGAATTGAAACCTAAACCGGTTAACCTTTTATAAAAACTGGACTGGAGCCTACCTGCCATCGGCTCTGAACTGAGGCTGTTTCTGTTCACCTATGGAACCGTGTGCCAGGTTCAGAAGCTAGAGTTAGCTAGTAACTTCGTTATGTAATTGAGTAGAACAAAGGAGGAAAAATAGAGTACTTATAACCACTATTCTTGTGTAAACAGTATAAAAGTGAAGTAAAAGCAGTAGAAATTTCTACAGTATCTGGCTTTAGAGTGTATATGGTTAATAGAACCTTTGTCCTTTTCAGGGAAAGCAAAACCACCACCTCGACTAATAGTTGGGGGAAGACACTAGGCTGTGTGGCCGCATCATAGAGGTGGGAAGGCCACTTAAAAGCGTTCTGTATCATTAGTATGTGTACCAGTGTATTTGGCTATTGTCCCTTTACAATCAGTGTCCCTGTACCACATTTACAGTCCCCACAGATAACCGTCAAATACAGATGCTTCTCTAGAGAAGGACCAGGTGGTTTTTCCGTTTCTTTTCTAGGACTTGTAGAGAAAATACTACTTGTACATTTTGGTTCTTTAAATCCTCCTTAGCCCACAGAGTTTCGGGTTATACCAACATGTGGATAGGCTGTAGCTATTCAGAGGTCTCCTGGGGGAGCTTTAAACTTAGGGGAAAACACTGGTTTTCACAGATGCTCCACATGGCTGTCTTTAAAAGACTCAGAACATTTTTTTTTTTTTTTGTCCTTTTCTTCTCTTTGTTATGCTTGGAAATTCCCAGTGTGTCGAGTCTTTGCAAAGAAACCTTTAGATGTGGTTCATAGGTATATGAATAAGTATCTGTGTAAAACAGTGAGTGTGCGGTGTGTAAATACTTTAAATTATTATGCTAGAAAAATAAAGTTACATACCATGCTGTGGAATGTTTGTTCTGTGATTATAGTGACACCTGCTGGAAGAACTGCAGAAGACAGGAGCCGAAGAAAGCGAGCGAGGGTGTGTTTGTGCCAAATCCTTGGCGATTACTAACAACACATTGTACAACCTGCCCATAAACTCACTGATTTTCTAAACTACATCTTTCTTGTAGTTTTTCATTTTTAAGTTTAAAGCAATTTCAAATAAGTCAGTGGCTGTGAAACTGGTCCACTGGTATCATCCCAAAGGTCTGTCTGCAGTAATAGTTTTGGTGACTTGCAGACATGGGAACAGCACTGTGGTTCTTTTAAGATAGCGTGGACTGCAACAACTTCCTTCTGGTGGGAAAGACTTGGGGGCACGATTTTTTTTTTTTTTTTTGGCTTTGGGAACTTGTAAATCTCCTTTTCTTGGGTGTTCTAAAAAGAGACATCACAAGATCTCAACTTGTTCTTTGTGCAAGAAACATGCCGAAGGGTAGCAAAACTTGAAAAAGAATTAAACCCAAACTTAAGTCAAATACTAAATGGGACAAATTACAACTGGAGGAAACCTATATAATCATTTCTTAAATAGAAGGTTTAATCCGTACTCTTAGTGTTCATCTGTAGTTCAGAATTAAAAATAAAAGTCATCTGAAACACACAAAATTGGATGACAGTGATAAAGCCACTGACTACCTAATGCATAAGCTGGTAGTAAATGAATACTAAGAAATAATCCACATCAAAATGAAGTCTATGCTTAGAAGTCAAAATTTCTCTTTCAGTGTACTCTTTATGTCCAGAACCCCAGCTTTTCAGAGATTAAAATTTAAGTGACTGCCCAAAAACCTAACAGAGGTCTTTATGGTCTTTTTTTTTTTTTTAAGATTTTATTTATTTGACAGAGAGAGACACAGCGAGAGAGGGAACACAAGCAGGGGGAGTTGGAGAGGGAGAAGCAGACTCCCTGCCGAGCAGGGAGCCTGATACGGGGCTCGATCCCAGGACCCTGGGATCATGACCTGAGCCGAAGGCAGACGCTCAACGACTGAGCCACCCAGGCGGCCCAAGGTCTTTATTGTCTTAAACAGCAAATGGAGACTTTAACAAACCCTAAGAATCCTGTTATCTGATTATTTTTCTTTTCTTTTTTTTTTTGGTAGCCACAACATTTAGCATTCTACTGCCTGAAGGCAGTCGGACTAATGCAGTCTTGGATTGCAGCAGTCCTTTCTCAGAAAAGATACTTTGTTTATGGGAACAGCAGGAAAAAACTCTAGCAAGGTCTTTGCATGTGTACCAAGGAGTATCTCCACCAAGGAGCATCTCCCTGCATCAGAGAATGTAATAAGACAGGAGAGGGGAAAGGAAAGGGGAATGGGGAAAGGGAAGGGGAATAGGGAAAGGAAAGGGGAATGGGGAAAGGAAAGGAAAGGGAGGGGAGAGGAGGGGGAGGGGAGATAAAAGGAAAGAAAGAGGGAGTGAGGGAGGGAGAGAGAAAGGGAAAAGGGGAGCAAAGGGAGAGGAGAAAAGAGGAAAGGAAGGAAGGAAGGAAAAGAAAGAAAAGAAAAAGCGAGCAGTTCATGGTTCCTTATCTGACTGCCTAGCTCACCATATTGTTTCTCCTTTCATTCATTTTGTCTTCCAAATGGAAAAGGCATATTCACAACATTATTATTTAAACTGTATTTTCCTCTAAACTTACTACTCTCTACCTCCACCAAGTAAACAAGATGTGTAACACTATCAACTAAATAATAGGATATATAGCCTTCTGTACCCAAAATATGAAGCATAGGCTTGGAGTGCAGAAGTGTTTGTGTTTCTTATGAGTAACATGTAGATGTATAAGGAGAGTGGGGCATCTACAGCCCAGGAGGAGGATACGCTAACAGATCCTACACAGGTGGAATGTTCACCCTTCCCAGGTTACGATGATGTTCGAACCAAGTGAACAAACCAGTCTGGTCAGCTAACGTATATTAAAGTATGTCCATCAAACTCCAGCAATAAGAAAACGGAGCCAAGTTTTCTAATTGAGAGTTCTTCATGTAGGACAGTTCAATGACCCCCCAACTTTTTTTAAATTATAATAATGAAAACTCCCAACTCCAGGAAAAAAAAAAAAGGCACTCTGCTACCAGATGGAATACATAAGACCAAACCATACACAAATTAACCAAGTAGGAACTGCACTTGGCATAAATGACATTAAAAAAAAAAATGATCATCTCAATCACTAATATAGCAGCAGCACCTAAATATATGAAACAAATACTAACAGACATAAATGGAAAATTGACAGTAATACAGTAACAGTAGGGGACTTTAATAAACCCTACTTACATAAATGGATAAATCACCCAGACAGAAAATCAGTAAGGAAACATTGGCCTTAAATGACTCATTAGACCAAACTGACTTAATAGATACATATAGAACATTCCATCCCAAACTGCAAAATAGACCTATTTTTCAAGTGCACATGGAATACTCTCCAGTACAGATTACATGGTAGGCCACAAAAGAATACATTCAAGAAGACTGAACTCCTATTAAGCGTCTTTTCTGACCACAACATTATGAAAGCAGAAATTAATTACAAGATAAACACAAAACAAAACAAAAAAAACACAAACACATGTAGACTCAATACATAAGTGAACAACTACTGTGTCAGTGAAGAAATCAAAGAGGAAATCAAAAAATATCTTGAGACTAATGGAAATGTAAACACAACTTATCAAAATCTATGTAATGCAGTAAAAGCAGTTCTAAGTTCATAGTGATACAGGCCTTACCTCAAGAATAAAGAAAAATCTCGAATTATCTACTTTATACCTAAAGGAACTAGGAAAAGAAAGGTAAAGCTCATAGTTAGTAAAAGGAAATCATAAAGATCAGAATAAAAATAAAGATTTAAAAAAATGAAAATATCAATGAAACTAAAAGCTCGTTCGTTGAGAAGATAAACAAAATTGATAAACCTCTAGCCAGACTCATCAAGAAAAAATGAGAGGTACCTGGGTGGCTTAGTAACACGTTAAGCGTCTGCCTTCGGCTCAGGTCATGATCCCAGGGTCCTGAGATCAAGCCCCACATCGGGCTCCCTGCTCGGCGGGAAGCCTGCTTCTTCTCCCACTCCCCCTGCTTGTGTTCCCTCTCCCGCTGTGTCTCTCTCTGTCAAATAAATAAAATTAAAAAAAAAAATTAAAAAGAGGGCCCCCCCCCAAAAAAAAATGAAAGAACTTACAACCAATATAAAGGATCATGAGTGGTTACTACAATTATTGCCAACAAGTTGGAAAATTTAGGAAAAAAATCATTAATTTCTATGAACACACAACCTTCCAAGAATGAATCACAAAAAATAGAAAACCTG